AGGGACTTCTGACAGTTGTGCATCATAGACTTCTTTTCTTTTTCTCTCCATCAGTCTTGACAGATTAAAAAGAAGCGAAAATATAAAAATTGTTTCAGCTAAATCACAAAATCAATACTTCATACCAAATGAGAGATGAAGGAAACAACATTCACAGAAATTACATGAAAACCATGGATTCTCACAGATGTTTTCTCATATCATGTTGATAATCCTGCGAAGACAAAGGTTCAGGAAACTCAGTCCTCAGCATTCAGAAGCAGGCAAGCTGGTAAGCACCTTGCTGTCATCCCATCCAGCATTTTTCAAACCATGGGCTGCAGCCCATTAGTGGATCATGCAGTCAATTTACTGCACATAATACACTTTTTTAAAGAAAATTAAAAAGAACATAATAGAAAATGTTCAAGAGTAAAGAAAGTTTTGTGAAGCTTTCTTTGCCAGTTGGCAAAAAGCCCAAAAGCCAGTAGTCAAGTCTGGATATGCAGTTCAGATGAAGAAAATGGGGCCCTGGGAGGGCAGAAAACTTGTCTGTGTTCAACAGCCATTTGGGGACCTGGGTCCAAACTCATTGCCAAGTCAATGCTTGGGTTAGTACCAGGCGCTTGGCACATGGCAGTATGCCCAGAGGGAGACAGGCAGCGACACCAAGGGGAGACTCAAGACACATACCTAACTTCCCCATACCAATGTGACGAGGGAGGCATCTTCCTTCCAGTCAACAGTATTTCCCCCAGTACAGTGAGGGGATGAACTTAATGACCTCTCCCCCCAAATTAATGTTCTAGTTCAATCATGCATCAGAGCACATCATGTCATTCTGGGACCTTTCTGACTAATGCTCCTTACTCCCATCTAAGCCACATAAGATAGTGAGTAGCTGTTTCTGAATTTTCAAAACTCATATAGGGACATTCTATTGCCTGAGGAAGACCCCAATTTTGAAGCGTTCGACTGTAATCTGTAGAAGTTGCTTCAATGTCAGTCATGGGACTCTTGGGGACAAAAGTCATAGCCAAGTTCTACGGATTCTTACCCACTATCATAGGGTATGTGGCTTTACAGCTTAAAAGACATACTAGACATACTAGAAAAACATACTAGACATACTAGAAAGGATCTCAGAAAATATCTTTTGTTCCAAGAATCCAAAGTTCAATATATTTTTTAAACTTTATGGTTTTTATTTGAGCCAATATGCTCAAAAACTGAAGACAGTATTTCACTGAGCTAAGGCTCCCTTCAACTCCTTTTCTGTCCTTTTCTGTTCTGGTTAGAATAGCACAGGATGTCTAGAAGTTTCTTTGGCACATATATGAAAGATGGATGACTCTCTATTTAGTGTTACTTTTTCAGGCTAAGGGACGCAAATATTTCTCCACCAGGGTACCTCTTTTCAGGTGGTGCAATGAGGCAGGAAATGGCCTCTCCTCGGCTTGTTGTACATTTGTCCTCTCCAAATTTTCCTGTAAGTTTCTAACACATGGTGTCATTGCACCCAGGAGACCTGTGTGTATTCAAACCACAACTGGTGCAGAGCACAGGAGAAAAGGGAGTGTGTATCCTGGAACAGTGTTCAGAAGGCTGTCGCCCACCAACCCAGACAGGCAAAAAACTAGAAGCAGGCAACATCTGACTAGCTTGAGGCTCAAAAACTGACCATCAGACCAGACATTCTGTGGACACAACTGAAACTGAGCCAAATAAAGAGGATAATGAAAAAGAACTATTTCGTGGGACTACACCAGTTTACTTACATACAGAACGAAGGAGGGGAGGGGAGACGGCAGTGAAGCAGCTACAGCCACTTATGAATGCAGGCCCTGATCCTGTCAGGGTGGATTTCATACATAACTATAACGATCTGGGGATGAAACATTAGGAAAATATTACTTTTCTAACAAGAGTTGTGCAGTCCCCTGGACAAGCAGGGCACAGGCAGCAGCAGAAGATTCTACCTCAAAGAGCTATGGAAATGCTGCTGCAGCTACAAACACACGGCAACAGGCTTTCCTTCTCAAAAAGTGACTTTAAGACAGATGCTGACTTTAAGACAACCTTTAAGACAAATGCTGTCCCAGGAAGAGGAAGGAGGGGTTCTTTCTGTATGTCTCAGAAATACTGGAACATTATTTCCATCCTCCCCCGCCTCAGTCATGAACACCCCTGCTCAGTGCTGGACAAAGATCCCCAGCAACCCCGGGGATTGCTCTGAGGTCTTTTTACACAGACATCCAATTCAAGATGTGTTCCCAGGGGCCTGAGGCAGCACCCTGAACAAAGGGCATCAGAAAATAAACTTACATGGAAAACCCCTCCAGAGCTAGGGCCCACAGGGATGCTCCTTCCCACACAACCTGCCATACTCTAGGATCTTCAGCCAACTTGTGCATGATTATTTAGTATATACAGAAGAACCCCAGTAAGAATGAAAGGGCTCTCCTTATTTGTTTAGTCAAGGGGAAGTGAAAATAAAGTCAGAATCCTCAAGAAATTTTCCACCAAGTAAGAATTCTTTCTCCCATGAAATGTTCTATGACTTAAAATAAAGGTAGATGGTTATTCAACTAAATTCCTGCTAATCAGGGTCACAGTCAATTCCACTTAATAATAAAGATTCTATAAAACATGCTGGTTGGCCAAAGTCCTATAGCTTTCTTGGTTCTGAGTGACATTTCAAGGAAACCTCACACTGAGACAGTTGTCAGGGTAACTACCTCCACATCAGCACTTCAAAGGGTCCGGGAAGGAGTGAAGCAGTGACACATTTTAGAAACAAATCCCAAACACACACTACAGCCTCCCAGATCTGGTTCCTGCCCCACCTCTCACCTTGATGCTGCAGGCCACCCTCAGAAGGGGACAATAAACTCTGGAGGGGGCAGGTCAAACCAATCTGTAGTGGTGAGTGGTATGTGCATTTTAAAATATTAGTTTTAAAAAGGAGCAACAACAAAAAAGAATACCTTCAGCCACATAATGATGATATGAAATTCAAGTCTCAGGTTCTATAAACAGTTGTTTTTGTATTGTACAAGGATGCTTTCCAATGACAACAGCAAAGTTGAACGGTTGAGACAGAAACACGATGGGTATGAAATTTTATCTGTTTCTTTACAGAAAGCTTGTTAACCCTTCTATCTGGGCACATGCCAAGTATATACCTCTGCATTTCTGTGTTTGGCACTTACCTCTTGGCCTTGCATAGACAGTTCCTTGTTCTCAGTTCCTGGCTCAAGTGTCACTTACTCTGAGTGGACCTTCCTGAATGTCTAGAGACACCTATCCAACTTGACCATGTGTAGTTCCCTCTGTAGCTCTGATCTGAAATTGTCTTGTTCATTTGCTTATAAGCTGTCTTTCCAGATAACTATAAACTTCCTAAGGGGGACCCTTGCAGTATGGTGCACACTCCGCTCACACTAGTTCTATGAACAGACCAAAGTCATCTCCCATTCCCAGTGTCTCATCAGCAGAGATCAAACTGAAGAGGCTGCCTGGCTTTGAGCATCATACTGTAGTTCATAAGATGTAGGAACAAGCAGCCACATAAAACCTGTTACACTTCTCAAAGGTTTGAGAGGTTATAGATAACAACTAAGTGGAGGTGTAAGTTGAGAACAAGATGTATTTTATGCCAAAGGGGAAAAAAAAACAAAACAGGGCGTGTGTATGAGCAGGGTCTATCATCTTGGCCTCGGGCACGGGTGACAGGTGCCCAGAGCTTTAATCCTCCCGCTTGGGCCTGTCCTTAGCCCATCAAGGGGGCCTGCCATTTCAGAGGGACTCAGCTCTGATTAAAACATAACCTCATGCCTATAAATAGAAATGTCTTTTAAACAGTAATTAAAAATAACAGGCTGGCATTTGGAAACTCTTATAAACAAAATATAAGAGGAGCTGAAATAAACAGCAACAGTTGCAACCTTTGATCTATGCTCAGGTGGGGCAAAAGCTGTGTCTTTGCTGGAGTTTTTCAATTAATTCCTGAATTTATGGAGGGCATGCAAAATGTCTACCAATGTCCATCACACCTTTTATTCTAACAATGAACTGGCTTTTATTTCTTTTTCCATTTCTTTTTAATGATTGTGAAATTAATTTTAACAATATTTTATTAAAATATCATCTGGAAATTGTAACCATTAAGAAATTATTGAGTTATTTTGCAATCTTTTTCTATACTTCTCTTTGATATGTACTGTGCATTTCATACTGACAGCACATCTCAATTCAAAAGCACCACACAACAAAAGCATAGTGGCCATCGGTGCCGAAAAGTTGCCAATTTAGATGACACTGCTTCAAATATTCAGCTATTTCAAACTAAACACAAATCTATCTTAGTTACATTTTATGAGGTTTACATAAGAGCCTCTTCTCTTTTTGATTGTATACTTGTTTTATTTTTTCACTTGAAATGACTAAATACATTAAATATTTATTATTGGAACTCATCTTGGGTATTACATGCATTCTTCTCAATATGCTAAAGGATATTAGGGACCACATCATATTGCTTTCCCATAAGCATCCGAATTTGCTTTTCAAATCACAGCTGTTAGATTTAGTTTTCATTTCCTTTATACATGGCTCCTTTCCTGTCTCAACTGAATGCAACCAAGAAACTCAGATGCGTCGGAGCCAAGTTTCCTTAATGTACAACAGGGCGTTGGCACCACCACGATGCACATGATGACTGAGTTTTAATTCAAGATAACTCGTCATTACCTGCTCCTTTTCCTTTAAGAAGCGCATATGCATTTTTATGATTTAAGAAAAACTTACAACATCAAATTACCCAGTAATAGCCAGGATCGGAGGCCCACTGCTAGAGCAAGGACAACCAGGGAAGCAGGCTGCACTATGCTAAAAGCACTTGCTCTTCATTTACAAATACCCGGCAGCATGGATACTACTAATGGAAATAATGGTTTCTACAGTTTGGAAATACAGCAAAGCCAACATTCTTCACCCACACCGAGGACCCTCCCAATTACCTCTGCATCCTGCTCGGGGAGGCAGTATATCCTCTTGAGGCTTTGCAGAGTTCGGGCGCTCAGGGTCTTCTGCTCCAAGAGATGTTCCAGCAATAGGATCAGCTGATCTGGGAGAAGCTGCGGGCAAAACCAAACAACTTGTGAAAATGCCATCTAGTTTCTGAGAAACTAAAATCCAAACATTTAGGCTAAATATAGCAAATCCAGGACAATCCAGAAGCTGTCTGAAGCACAGGAGACTGTAGACTTGACTTTCGTCAAACCTCGGAGTTTACATCACATCCCCAAAGACACTACATTTTGTGGCCCCTATTTGCCATGGTCTTTTTATGTTAGATCTACATTTAGAACAGGCTAAAACTATGTTTATGTAGTTTATTTTTTAGGTTATATAATTTTTTAGGTGTACAAAATGATGACTATATATATATATATATATACACACACAGTGTATAGATGTATATATATACACACACAGACACTGAAATAAAAGCTATGTTTATTTTAATAAAACATTATCACAGTTTATCAGATGCCTTTCTTTATAAAAAGCATATGACAAAAATGTCATTTAGCCTAAAGATTCAAGAAGACATGTGATCTCAGGCAAATAAATAAACTTTCAAGAGAGTAAGCAGCAGCTTTACAGATTTCTTTCTCTACCGCACAAAACTTGCAAAGATACACCAAGAAATAAACAGCTTGTGATGATGCAAGTACTATCTCATACTACCTCCATTATAAAAATTGTAAGATTTAAATTAAAAGAAAACCACTGGGTACTTATACGTGTCTGTGTCTGCCAAATACACATGCAGACACACACATACACACAACACAAGGCCACGCATATACATGAGTTTTTAAAAAGATAGGCCAGAAATGGTGTTAACAGTTGAGGGCAAAGAGAGGAGGATATTTTTATATGGCAAAAAATAATGAGAATTTATTGGTGAACAAATAATATTTGTGAAATCCAATACTTAAAGCATCTGCCTTATTCATTATTGTTCTGCATTATAAAGTGTATTTTTTTTTAACCTCACCCTAAATTCTAATAAACTCCCTGATTCTATACACAGGCAGTATTGCCTAGATCGGCTAGACAATGTCTAGGGCAGAGTAGCAGAGGAATAAACAAATATAAGATACAACATGTTGGAAATGAAAATTCTTCTAAAATCAAGTTTTAAAAACCAAAGCTACCTCAATAACTTAACAAGCATATATTAAAATTTCTCAAAAAAAATCAAAGTTTTAAAATTACTATTACGATTCAACTATTCTCTACATGCAGCTTTGCTCCATTCCTGCTTATGCCTAGATAATCCCTGGCCAGCAACCCTAACTGAAAGGTCTGAAAGTCAACACTAGAATAAAGAGTATGCGCAAACTGTTAATCCCCACTTTGTGTTACTCTAAAAGCGCATATTCTCACTCTTTACCTTTCTGGCCTCCACTGTGCACACTGCCACCCCTATTCTCTCTCTCTCATTCACAAAATTCACAGAGGAAAACTGGGTAGACTACCATGAAAACCATGTAACTTCACAAAGAAAGTTGTTTTTTTTTTCCCAACCTCACCCTAAATTCTTATAAAGCCCCTAATTCTACACACAGGCAGGCATGGATGCACATCATTTGGGTATTTTGTAGTATCACTCCATGCAACTAGGAACCACCCTGTGGACCTCCCTTGGGCTGATGGGAGAAATGATGTGCCTTCAGCAAAAAACAGAGGTTTACAATTAGCTCTGGCCCAGGAGGCGCTACACCAGGACTTGAAAAAGACCCACACTCAATTCACTTCCATTAGGCTGAATGCCTGCAGGATGTTTTAAAAATTACTACTTAACAACCAGTAACAAAATGTCAGCTTTCCATCTTGCTACAGTTTTATATACATGAGGCTACTTTACAATATTAACAGAAATGTGCTGTTTTATAAAACAGGCCAAATCCAGAGCCACCAGACTCTGGACAGCCTCCTAACTCCTTCCTCATACCATGAACACTTGGCTAGTAGAATGGGAGGGTAGATAGTATTGTAGGGGCCCCATCTCTTCAGGTTCTCCAGGCACCCTAGACGGGTAGGCACTCCCAACCACTTCTCCTCCGTGCTTCCCTCCATGTCTCCCCTGCAGCCTCCTCCTCCAGATCTTCCTAGCTTGGGTTCCAAGAGGGCCCTTCTCAACTTACTGCCACCCCTGCTGAGCGTACCCCTCAGTTCCCCTAAAGCCACTGCTTAACTGTCCTCCTGCACATAAACCCTCTTCAGAGAGTCTACCCTTTCCTATCAGTCTCCCCCTAACCACCCAGCCACCCTACAACATCCTTTTCTTAAGTGTGCTCTACATGAGAAGGGCCTACAGGATGCTAGGAGGGGGCGTCTAACTAGCACCTCATAGCAGGTCAGTAGCACTTCTCCAGGCAGCCACATCCTTGGCACCAGCAGCTGAATGCTGAGGCGGCTCTGTACAGCTCAGCCCAAAAGAGAAGGCATCGGCCCAAACAGTTCTGACACAGCTCAAGACACCACAGTACGAGCCATAGTCACTGGCCAAACACAGCAAGAACCAGCGATGCCAATGTGCAGAATTACAGGGGAGGAAAGAGTCAAAAGAAAAACACCTTCTGATTATGTGCCCACACTTTCAAAAGGCCTGTTGTTAGAACTCCAGTTTGGGATTTGCTTTAAACTCAAGACCCCAAATGGAGAAGAGAAACCTTGTGTAAGTTGCTTAGTCCTCATCTTTCCCCAAATGAGTTTACTAATGACTAAATACAACTCCAGTTTAAAATTAAAGAGTGGGGACTGTGGTGATGGTGCCTGGATGCATTGGCGAAGGAAATTCTAAGGGGTCTACACTGCGGGGGGTGGGGGGTGGAGGAAGCAAACACTGTTTGAAAATGAACAATGATGTAAAAACTATATAAATAAAAAGACAATTTAAAAATTAAAAAATTAAAGAGTGACTAATAGGGAAAGTTGTCAAGGCATCTGGATTCAGACTTTTCTATCTCATCCACTTTTCTTCCAAGCAGAAAGTTCAGTCATCTGAAGAGAAATAGACCAGAAAGGACCCCTGAAAATTTCTGTCTCCTCCAGATTTCATCAATGCAAATGTTTAAAGTGGAGTCCCCTGACTTATGATGGAGAGCTGAGATGGAAGGGAGGGAGTCAAAGTTTATGGTTCTTTATTAAGTTTAATTTACTTTAATTGGAGAGCAGGAAAGAGCAGGCACACACCCCAGCCAGGTAGCTCTCCTCCCTCACTAAGGGTGAAAGGGCTGCAAGAGTGGACTTGTTCAGGGGCAGACAGAACACAACAAGGGCCAAGACAGTGATATGAGAATATTCCTCCCACATGCTGAGAGTTCTACAGAATGAACTGGGATAAATGCCTGTCACTTAGCAAACAACCTGCAACCATTCCAATTCATGGGAGGAAATTTTAGTTTCCAAACAGTGAGAAAAGTAGTGAAAAAAATCAGCGATTAAATGCTATTTTAGCACACAGACAAAAAAACTAATACATTTCGGTCACAAATGAGTAAACATTTTTTTACATGAGATAACACATCTTGAGAATATTAAAGGAAAAATGGTGAGCAGCTCACTCTAATACAGCATATTACTCTTAATAAACTTTTGTTCATGTAGAACCAAACAACAATGAAAAAGAAATACTACGTAATAAGCCAAAATGTTTGCAAAGCAGCTGAGCGATGCAGATATCATACACTGCAAATATGCTCAGGCACAGAGCTGGGCGCGCCTCGTCTTGGCAGTTGGCACCACGGCAATGGGAAATGGTGTGTGGGTCATTCCATTCCCACCCACGTAGAAATCAAATTAAATTTCACATGACTTCTAGGTCAACTGTGTCTTAATACAGCACTACTGAGGGAGACAGACATGGCTTCAGTCCCAACATGGAGTGACGAAGAAAAACAAAGTACAAGTTTCAGGGCATTATCTCCTGAGAAAGAACCTGCTTTATGTCTGAGGGTCTCGTGGCATTCACTCCATTAGCGCTAAGAATAAAAATTCCTTTCCTTTGCACAAAAGTGGGCTTCAAGATGGGGGTTATTATTTTCTTCCAAACGAAGACCAACTCAGTATTTTTAAAACACATCTGCCTCAGAAACTTAAGACAAAGTAAGATGACAGGGTGCCAAAGTCAAGTGAGTACTTGAAACAGAGAGCTTCACAGGCCTGTAAAACTTACTCACACATGAAAAATCAAATGCTGAACATCAGTCAATTACAAATGCTATTTGTTAAGGCTTTACAAGTCTGCATTCTTGCTTGCAACATGCAGGATTCCATAGCTGCAAATAAAAAAAGTCTACCTGGTATACTGTTTCCATTCAACTTAAGAGTTGAGGCAAGGTGCACAACTTTGAAAGGTTTTTAAGAGCTTCTATATAGGCACTCGGAAAAAAAATACGAATTTTCTGAAACCGCCCCTCCAGCCTGCAAACAGCACAAAGAAAACAAATCCTGTCTCTTCCAGAAGCCTCTTTATGCTGTCAAGAGGGCATCACTCACTCTCAGCTCCCAGAAGACCACCCACACAACCGAGGCTACACTATTTCTTCCAAGAGCAGGAGGCAGGAAAAGTCTGGTTCACCTACTAGATCACAAAATGTCAGGATGCGTCTCATACTGACCTTCCCCAAGCAGTGCCCAGACCAGGAACCGGCACACGCAGACATCCCAGCCCACCGCTTGCAACCCTTCAAAAGCAAGGAGGGTACCTCCCACCTCGCCTGGAGGCAGTGATGGGCACACTACAGCCTCAGGAAGAGAGTCTGAGAGGCTCCCAGAAGGAAGGGGAACGAGCCTGGATGAGCCTGGGACTCCTGCAGCCCCTGACTGTCAGTGGCGTGAGTTCTATTATTACCCCATTATCATTCTGGGATCTGTGCCTAAATGAAGCATGCTTCCTCCCTGATGCCATTTCCTTTTTATCCTGGCTGCAGACTAAAAGCAGATCAATGGAAGCAATACATATGATGTCACTTCAATTTACAGCAATGGCCTCCCTCTCTTTTTCAGTCTGTCTGAAATACACAAAAAGATCAATTCTTCCCAAAAATGGTTAAAAAAT